TTGATGTTAACACACGCAAACTGAATAAAAGATAGTGACAAAAACCTGAGGTCAGATTTGTGAGAATTGAAGCAAGCACACAATGGTCTAAAGCTGGCGATTCTCCCAAAGAATATAAAAAATGTAATTTGTTGCATAGATGCCATGCTTTATTTCTCTGGTTATAAACCTGTCCCATAATGCATGCGTGTTCTTGGGCAATGTGACAGTAGCTCTTCAACTGAAACAACTTCCTTGAAGCACATAACACTCTTCTCAGCTTTATTCTAGAAGTGCAGTCAAGGCAAAGTGACAGTTCATATCCTGATCCAATTAGGGCTAGTTTACTATGCCAACTGAAGAGTGATCTACAGTAGATCACTTTTTCAGAGGGTGCTTCACAGAATGTCACCTCACTGTTTTTACTGCTAAAAAAATCCACACCACAACTGTGCGTATTGCATGTTTTGTGGAAGCTACTACCTGCTGATCACAGGGATATTTTTGCTGCAGCATGTATACACCACTGTCCACTGCCTCAACTGTCCTTTGATCATGCAGCAGTCAATGACTGCTGCTCAGTTCTCCGGCGTTCTCGGAAAACAGTTCTCCTGTGAATGCCCTTTTATGAAACGGTGTAGATCAGTTCTCCAAATGAAGGAGAAGTGCAGGGGCAGACTGACAACTCATGGGGCCCCTGGGCAATAGGGGATCATGGGGCCCCTGTGTCCTTGCCCAAAACTCAAAAGCCTATAAAAAAAAAAAAAAAAAAAAAAAAAAAAAAAAAAAAAAAAAGTACCAGGGGCATCTCATGGGGCCCCCCTACTGACCCTGGGCCCTCAGGCAGTGCCTGAGTTTCCAAATGGTCAGTCCGCCCCTGGAGAAGTGATCTACAAATGCTGGAAAACGCCTGCTTTTACTATAATCTCACGAGATTACAGTAAGAGGTCAAACGGTTTACTAAACAGTGGTAAATTATCGCTGCTTCATTTGCAGTTGCTCCGATTTTCCAGCTCGGAGCTGGAGATCTGGAGGGAGAACACAGATCACCAGTGAAGGGCTGACATCGCTCCTTCATATACTGGCCATCTGTGTGCTGTCATCTGTTTCCTAAACCACTAATGATCGGAGATAACAATCCTCAGGATCACCACTGATCTCAGTTTCATAAAAGGACACCTTAGTGGCTTAAGTAGGGAGCAATGGGAGGGGGTGTAAAAACACACACGATTTTTTTTTTTTACCTCACCCAACTGCAAGTGTAAACTAATTTTTCCCCATACTTGCCCTGCTCTTCAAACACTCCACTGGAGTCACACACAATACCCAATGTTTTTAATGTTGAGTAATGCGACTGCTTCATGATGCTGTGCTCTGACCTAAAAGTCATTATGGCATGTAAAGAATGACATAGATCTATTGTAAGATCACACAAGGAGCTTACACATTGTTTGGCTTCTGAAGGAGCAGAGTGCAGGTAATTTTTATTCTGTACCCCAATATTGCTCTATAAAAAGCTTACTGCAGAATGTAATTACTAATTTTTTTATGCCAAGAAAATTTTGTACAGGACACTCCCTGGATTCCCTATATGAACTGTTCAAATGTACTACAGCAGAACTTTCTGCCACTTTCTGGCTGTAGTACTTCGAATCACTCAGTCACCTAGAACAAGTATGCAGATGAAGTGTCAGTGTGAAGTCTGAACTCCTCTAAACTAGTTCAGTGTCAGCCCCCTTGCAGACATTTTTCTCCTATACACACACATTCCAAGTGCCTTCAGGCTCAGTGTTCAGTCTTAGTCAATTGAAAGCTTGGGGAAAGGAAAGAAAGTTATATACGTTTTAAGGCGCATTGACTGAAGTCTATAGTGTGCCTTAAAAGCTGTTGTATTATTTTGAGGTTTGAGCAACAATGCTCAGGAGTGAACAGACGTCAAATATAATCCTCTAAAACTTCGCCAAATGAATCTGACCCAAATTCAGGTTTTTTTTGTACTTTTGATTGTTGCGGGGCAAGGAACGACCCAGCCTGCTGCTCACTAGAGTACAAAACAGCCCAAGTTTGGCATTCAAATTATAGTGAGTTTGAAAGACACCCACGCTTATCTCTAAGGGTCCTTTCACACTGATCAGTTTTTAAACACTAAAATATGCACATTAGAAATGAATCTTTAAATCTTGTGGAAATGCTCACACAGGTCAGTTACATTTCAGGTGTGTTTTTGACTGCTTTCACAATACGCCACAGTATAAACGCATATTGCATCCCCTTGGGCTAGGTTCACATCTATGCAGGTTGCAGTTGATGCACTTTTCCCAGCAAGTTTTGCATCTGATGCATTTATATTTTTTTGCGAATAGAAAAGTGTAGCAGCTCTGTTAATGTTGCAAGACTGATGCTACTTTACGCGCTCGAACTCTAGTAGCAAAATAATGCAGGAACCTTTATGTGTCCAAAGATGCATGTTAGGGTTGGGGTTAAAGTGTTACTAAATCCACAACAGTAAAATCAGTCTGTATAAATAGTAAAGCATGCTTGTTATACTCACTGGAACCTAAGGGGTTAATTTGCTGCATTGTGTAAAAACGCTGTTTGATCCTGACTTCTCTGATCCTCCTTTCAATGTCCCCCTCTTATCTCCTGCCAAGGCATTGTGTGGAGTCACTCTGCACATGCTCATTTGAGTAATGCCAGAGGGTTTTTTTTTTTTTTGTGCACGTGATCAGCACAGGGCCAACCAGCACTGATCAGGGGTTCTGCATCCTCCTAAAGCAAAATAAAAATGCTATCTACAAGCTTTAACTGCTCCACTGTACACTGATAGAAGTCACAAGACTGCTCTAACTTGATGAGAAAGGTATTTAGCAGTTTATATTTACTAAAATTGCACCTGTGTACTGTGGGAGATCAGAGAGTACAGGGTCCTGAGTTCAGCAACACTAAAGGCTAGCTATTAACCCTAGCATGGGACTTTGGACAAAGGTTCCTGTACTACTTTGATGCTACTTGAGTGCTGCATCAAAATCTCAGTACAAGAACAGAACTATCACACTTTGTCATTTGAGGAAAAAAAAAAAAAAAAAAAAAAAAAAAAGGAGGGACGACGATGAGCTTGGCTTTTAATTTTTGCAATGCAGCCAAACACAAAAATGACTGGTTGTTATGAGCCTCAAAAGGATGCATTTTCTTCCACTTTTTTTAAAACCAAAAAACTGATCAGTGTGAAAAGTGTTCTAATATTGAGCATGAAATGCTCTGGGCAACAAGCTTAAATACTCAGGGGGTGAAAGTGTTGAATCCTTTGGATCACCATGATGGGCAGGCAACAGGCACAGCTGACAAAGTGAGACGTTAGCAGGGAGACCCTTCACATTTTCTGGGTTTACAATAAAATGTTGGATGGGAAAAAAAACAAAAAAAAAAAAAAAAAAAAAAAAAACAAAAAAACCCCACCACACAGCAAAGACAAATAAAATCAGGCTGGATCTGGATTAGCAGAGTGTTAAACCATGCAGCTCTACAAGCCGATCTGGCAACAGCTGTGTCAGAATCTGATGTGCGATTGGTTCCCCTGCACACACCCCCTTCACTCCCCAAGACTGATCTTCGTGGCATCTACAGACTGCACTAGGATCACCAAGGGGTCTGCTACACAAACAAGCTAGAAACCCCTTGTATAACAATTCTAGCAATATATTGCAACAATTTAAAAATAATAGCCCATAGATCAGATAAGAGGAATAAATAGCAACAACTTCGCTAGTCATACACTAAACAAAAGTTGTTTGAACGGGTTTTTGAAAAAACAAACATTATCGTGAGAGCAAGTGATATTGTCATTATACAAATGACCGAACTTCGAATAATAAATCCTTCACTGGACATAAACGAATCAGTTTTCTTCCGCTTTTTGCTTCTGGGTCACATATGCGCAGTACCAACAGTTCGATTTTTAAAATAGGCAAGAAACACATTAACCTTTTAATTTAGCATCCGTTCCGCAGAAGTTTTCCATACTTTTAGATTTTTTGGGGCAAAAAAATCACCACTACCAAATTTTCAATTTGTGCCCATTAACTAGATGAACTTTCCAAATGACAGATTTTCAAACAATTTCTCTAGTGTATGGGCACCATTAGTAGTCCAAGGCTCATCGCTTTCTAAAACAATTGGAAGTTATCAAAAGAACAATTATTGCATGAAACATGGATCAATTAAACGAATGCTTCCCAGTTTAAACTAAAGCCTTGCAGCTAGCAGATTAGATCAGGATCCACAATCACTACAAATCACTGGATTGCCCCCAATGTGACAGTCAGTGCAGGGCAGCAGCTTCCTCTGGACGTGGCTGGCATCACCAATTTCCAGACACATACAGTAAGGACGTTAAAGCTCATTCACACTTGACTTTGTTTTTAACTCTTGCCAAACACCCCTATAGCATTTGATAGGCATTAGACAGGTGTTTGGGAAGCATTTTTTAATGCTCCTCAAACACCCTGTACTCAGTTTAGAGGCATTTGCCAAGCGTTAAAACCACAAATGCCTATAATGAAGGTAAATGGTATTAAAACGCATCGCAAATGCCTGCAAGGCATTTGAGTGGCACCATAGACTTGAATGGGAGGCTTCAACTCCTCCTGACTAGACATGGAGGCATCAGTTTTGCCAGGACGCAATGTGACACTAACGCTTCAGTGTGAACATCACTGCTTGCTGCCATGTGCAGAATTTTCATAGGAATTTGAAGAGTGTTAAAAACACTTCGCAAACACCTGTTTGACAGCTGCTGATAAAAGCTAGTGTGAACCCAAGAAATTTAACGACTTACACCAGTCTAGTATTGGTTAACCTATACAGAAAACCCATTTCACATTGCAAACCCTCCATCCTCACCAAAACTTTGTATGAATCCATATATCACTTTCAACTAATTCATGATATAATAAAACAATGCTAAAGTATTCAGTGTCAAATAAAAAAACAAAAATAAAACTCAGGAATTGCCAATAAAGTACCTGTATGGGTCAAACTTGGCATACTTCATCCATTCTAGCGGATTGCTCTCATAGGACTCCACTATATTCTGAACTTCCTCTATGTTCACTTTATCACTGGAAAAGATCTGGTGTAGGATCCGGATCAGCTCCTCCAGTGTCTGTGGCTTCAGCACCTCTGTGTGATCCATATTACAAAGCTGGCACTGAGATGATCCCCACTGAGATGTCTGCTAACAGCTCACTCACAAGCAACTGTGCACAAGTGCAGCCCTTCTTCTCTATTTAAGCTGGCCAATTTGCAGAGGGCTGTACCAAGTTTGTTAGGGGAGGTAGGGGAGATAAGTGTACTGTTTGTGACACATTCTGTGCCTCTGTTATGTTGTTTTTACTTTACATGCAGCCTAATCTGTGTTCAATTACCCTTGCACTGATAAAACAGATAATTCCTTGGTTTCCTAGCAGTATCATTAAATTCTATGTGCTCTGATATCCTCCTTTTCCAGAGCACATCACAGACCTGCTGCTGTTTGTCCTGCTGAGCTTTAAAATAAGGGGCTTGTAGGGGGCTGGAGTCTATTAATTGGAACCAGCAGCTATAGAAACCTTTACAGCCCCCCCCCCCCCCAAAGAATTAATTCCTTCATCATTCTTTGGAGCTGAGAAAAAGGGGAATTTAAGACCTGGAAAGACACTTACATTTTAATTGATTGTCAACTGTGGCCACTACTTTACCACGGTCTAAACCTGGGTTCATATTGATGTGGTCTGGAATTCTCAGCATTTTATGTGCGAATTCCGCACCGCATCAGAATTGCACCCCGAAATCGGTCCGCAAAACGCAGTGCGATGTGCAGAATGGGATCACATAGGTGTGAATACCCATGTGATCCGATTCTAGTGCAGACCAAAAAAAGGGTCCTGCACCATTTTGGTGCGGGTGCGGTGCAATTAGAGCCATATAAAATGTATGGCTGCAATCGCACCGCACACAAATCGCATGTGATTTGCACAGGAATGCAGTGCACACATGTATCGCACCGCATATATGTGAACTAAAGCTGGGAGCAGCAATCTTTCCCACATTTAGGTTCACACGTTTGCAGATTTCAATGCGTTTTCCAGTTTGCAGACACACAATACAGTCCATTCAGCATGGTTTCCTATGGATCTAGTTCACTAGTATGTGTTTTGAGCCAGTGCGTTTTTTAGAAAGGGTCAGAGACTTTTTTTCCTGCCACTCGACACACATCCACTTCCTCCTGCACTCAGGAACTCAGATCAGAAAAAGGCCAATTGAATAAAATGATAAATGTTCATCCAACACTGATCAAAGGTTGTACGACTCTAACATGAAGCTAGCTCAATATAGACTGTAGTAGAGAACAAAAAACAAAGCGCACCAACCTTGCACATTACCTCAGTAAGCATTTCATAAATGTATTGATAAATTATACTCATAAGAGTAGCAGTAAAAAAGGTATATAACATCCATAACCAACACAGGGTTAGGAGACACGTGGAAGTTCCATCCGGAAGGGAGATGAACTCTTGGTCAAGCTGACGCGTTTCGAAGGGGGGGTCCCTTCTTCCTCAGAGCTCTGCATTTTGCAGTTTTTAAGTAATCATTCAATTTAAAAGAGAAATGAAAGGCAGAACAGTTATGTATACATATAAAAACATTATATATACCTTTTTTCTCCTTTCTATAAGTGATACCCTCACATACCCTCTGTTCTCAGCTACATAAGGAGTTCACGGTGGAGAAACAGCAGCACACTGATCTTCCCACTGAATTACTGTGCAGTGGAGCATGTCAGGACAAGTCTGATCATTGGAGAAGAGCAGGCTGGTTTCTCAGCACAGCTAGAAAACTGACCATGCTGTGCTCTCATGCCCAGTGTGGCCAGTTTGCAATAGGGAAGCAGAGAGACTGGCAGGAACACAGGGTATTTCACACAAGGAAGCAATACAATGAGGACAGGATACTTATTTAATACAAGTACATGGTACAGCAGTCACATATTAGGAATATGATATGATGGGTTTACCTATACACATAAGCTGAATACATACTGTAAGGTTTTTTTTTTTTTTTCGTTCATCCAGCAGGCACAGATCTCCCCTGTCACCACAAATCCTGCCTCTTAGCACAAATCCCACCTCTCAGCACAAAGCCTCCCCTCCATCTCCCCTCTCCCACCGCAAATGCCCCCTCTAAGCACAAATCCCCCCCATATCCCTTCCTCCAGCATAAATCCCCCAAACTCCTCCTTCTTACACAAATTCTCTTACCCCCCATCCCCCCTCTCAGCGCAAAGCATCCCTTTCATCTCCCCCTCCAAGCACAAAACTGCACCTCTCAGCACAAATCCCCCCATATCCCACCTTTCAGCATATTTACCCCTAAACCCCTCCTTCTTACACAAAATTATCCAAACCCCCCATATCTCCCCTCTCAGCACAAATCCCCCCATATCCCATCTTTCAGCATATTTCCCCCTAAACCCCTCCTTCTTACACAAATTATCTTACCCCACCCCCCCACCCCCCTTATCTCCCCTCTCAGCACAAATCCCCCCATATCCCATCTTTCAGCATATTTCCCCCTAAACCCCTCCTTCTTACACAAATTATCCAAACCCCCCCTTATCTCCCCTCTCAGCACAAATCCCCCCATATCCCTCCTTTCAGCATATTTCCCCCTAAACCCCTCCTTCTTACACAAATTATCCAAACCCCCCCTTATCTCCCCTCTCAGCACAAATCCCCCCATATCCCTCCTTTCAGCATATTTCCCCCTAAACCCCTCCTTCTTACACAAATTATTCCAAACCCCCCCCCCCTTATCTCCCCTCTCAGCACAAATCCCCCCATATCCCTCCTTTCAGCATATTTCCCCCTAAACCCCTCCTTCTTACACAAATTATCCAAACCCCCCTTATCTCCCCTCTCAGCACAAATCCCCCCATATCCCTCCTTTCAGCATATTTCCCCCAAAAAACCCTTCTTACACAAAACATATCCAAACGCCCCCATATCTCCCCTCTCAGCACAAATCCCCCCATATCCCTTCTTTCTGCATACCCCCCCCTAAACCCCTCCTTCTTAAACAAATTATCTAACCCCCCCTTATATCCCCTCTCAGCACAAATCTTAACCCCCCATATACTCCTTTTTGCAGTATAAATCACCCCCCAAAAAACCCTTTTCTTGCACAAATTCTCAGAGCGCCTCTCAGCACAAATTCTCTTATTTACCGCCCCCCAAAATCCCTCCTACAAGCACAACCCCCCCTCCCCAATACAAATGCTATCACCTCCAGATTTTCCCAATAAACAAATCCTTTTAATCCCTCCCAGCACAATCTTCCCTTTTCTTTTCTATCACAACTCCTCTCATTCCTGCCCCCAGCACAGACTTTTGTTCGTGGGACCACTGTACAATGCATGCACCTCAAACCTCAGATCTACTGCAATGCATGCACTTCAGACCTCAGATCTCCTACAATGCATGCACCTCAAACCTCAGATCTACTACAATGCATACACTTCAGACCTCAGATCTCCTACAATGCATGCACCTCAGACCTTAGATCTACTACAATGCATGCACCTCAAACCTCATATCTACTGCAATGCATGCACTTCAAACCTCAGATCTACTACAATGCATGCACCTCAAACCTCAGATCTACTGCAATGCATGCACCTCAAACCTCAGATCTACTGCAATGCATGCACTTCAGACCTCAGATCTCCTGCAATGCATGCACCTCAGACCTTAGATCTACTACAATGCATGCACCTCAAACCTCGGATCTACTACAATGCATGCACTTCAGACCTCAGATCTCCTACAATGCATGCACCTCAGACCTTAGATCTACTACAATGCATGCACCTCAAACCTCAGATCTACTGCAATGCATGCACTTCAGACCTCAGATCTCCTACAATGCATGCACCTCAAACCTCAGATCTACTACAATGCATGCACCTCAGACCTTAGATCTACTACAAATGCATGCACCTCAAACCTCAGATCTACTACAATGCATGCACTTCAGACCTCAGATCTCCTACAATGCATGCACACTCAGACCTTAGATCTACTACAATGCATGCACCTCAAACCTCAGATCTACTGCAATGCATGCACTTCAGACCTCAGATCTACTACAATGCATGCACCTCAAACCTCAGATCTACTACAATGCATGCACCTCAGACCTTAGATCTACTACAATGCATGCACCTCAAACCTCAGATCTACTGCAATGCATGCTCTTCAGAACCTCAGATCTACTACAATGCATGCACCTCAAACCTCAGATCTACTGCAAGTGCATTCACTTCAGACCTCAGATCTACTACAATGCATGCACTTCAAACCTCAGATCTACTACAATGCATTCACTTCAGACCTCAGATCTACTGCAATGCATGAACTTCAGAAAACTCAGATCTACTACAATGCATGCACCTCAAACCTCAGATCTACTACAATGCATGCACTTCAAACCTCAGATCTCCTAGAATGCATGCACCTCAGATCTACTACATGTATGCACCTCAGACCATAGATCTGTCCAAAGCATGTCTCTCAACCTTTGCTCCTACTCCAGAGTGTGGGCACTCTAAAACAGGAGGTATGTATACTGGCTACACTCATCATCACCAGGTGCAAACAAACCTCAGAACCTACAATGCCATGCGCACGCTTCAGAAAACTACGGCAGACCACATCCAATCAGATCTACTGCAAGTGCATTAATCAGACCTGTTACAAGCAATGCACTTCGATGTCTTGCTGTACTAAAGCTGGATCTATATTAACAATCTATGCAATCCATGGATCTGTCAAAAGAAAAATGCATGCATCCTTTTCACAATGTAATATATTTTACAGTTTACATTTCTTTGGTTTAATACCGCTTTAAATTCCAGTGTTAATCTAATGGTCACTAAGTATCGGTGGCTTATTGTCTGGATCACCAGGTGAAAACAAACAAGAAAAAAAAGCCTAAAAAAAAGAAAACTACTGCAGCCACCACATCTAATGATCGGTAAGCTGTAATATATTACAGATAATATGCAAAAAAAAAATATTTTATGTAATATATTACAGTACATTTTTGGTTTTTAATACCGCTTTAAATTCCAGTTTAAATGGTCACTAGTATCGGTGG